GCCCCGCGTTTCCTACTCGTGCCCCGTGCGCTCTCCCCGTTTGTGCCCCACGCACTCTCTCTGCGCGCGGCGGCTTCCACGAGTCACACAGCCTAGCTCATGTTTCCGCCACCGGTATTCAGTCTAAGTTCCCCGGGCTAACCTGGCGAATTCAACCTAGCCTCCGCCTCTGGTTTTAGCTTTTCGCCTTTTGCTACCCGGGCTGACTTGACGAATCCCAAGCTAGCTTACGTCTCCACCTCAGCCTGCCCCCACAGCTTCATCCTCCCTAACATTTTGCTCTACCCGGTATGTTTCCTAACTTTTCTTCCAACAATATTCCCCTCTCATTTCTCCTGGCTTCTCCCCACAGTCCGTATTCGAGTCTAAGTTTCTTCTAGCTTTCACTTTCGCTTTCGACCTTAGAGATTTCTCCCAGCTTCCCCCTGTAGTCCATATCCGAGTCTATGCCTAGGCTTTCGATAGCTTCTTCCGGCAGCTTTTCCATCCAGCTTTCCCCTAGGCTCTCTCTAATCTCTCTCTCCGGTATTTTCCTGCTTCTTCCCGCTTCTTCCCTCCTAGGTTTCCTATCCGAGTCACGGCACCATTATGTCGCTCCCCCTCTTCGTGGAGGAACAACACAGGACCCTGCGCTGTTCTTTTGTCTGCTCGGCCCTTCCTGAGTTTGCTGCTGGTTTTTCCCGGGTTGGCTACCGTCCCTTCCACCTCCGTGGAAGGGCGGTTCCCCCTGCCACTTTCCCCACTTCCGCAGGGGAGCGGCACACCGCCGGCTGGCTCTCTCGGGGGCTGCTCAGGTGTTCCTTCAGATAGATGTTCCTGGTGCATGTTATCTCTCTCCTCCTTTTTATAGTCCTCTTCCGCCAATCCCAACTCTGCTACCCACACGCCGAGTATGCTGCTCTCCTCCAATCAGGAGCAGGTCCTGCTGTTTATTGGTTGAACTGGAGGCAGCTGTGTAGAAGCTGTTTCCTCCTCTCCCAGCATCATATTGTGGGAGAGCAGATGCATAAAATAAGTCTTAATTCGAGTAACAGTCTAGTCCCAGTTGCTCCCCACAGTGGGGGTTGGCGCTGAGTCGTAGCGGGTAAAGCCTCCACCTGTAGTGCTGACAGCCCATATGGGTGCTGGCTTAAGTCCAGGCTGCTCCACTTCCAATACAGCTCTCTGCTGTAACCTGGGAAAGCAGTAGAAGATGGCCCAGGGCCTTGGGCTCCTGCACCCATGTGAGAGACCCAGAAGAAGCTCCTAGTTCCTGGCTTCATATCTGCCCAACTCCATCTATTGTAGCCATTTGGGAAGTGAACCATCTGATGGAAGATTCTCTCTCTCTCTCTCTCTCTCTCTCTCTCTCCTGCCTCTCTATAACTCTGCCTTTCACAGAAAATAAATAAATCTTTCCCAGCCACACATGTCTGCTGACTCTAAAACCCATCCCTTATAACTTATGGCTTTTTTTAATGGATTGCTTCCCCTTTAAATAAAAGAAAAAATTTTATTTTACAAACCATTATACTCTGAATTTGTCAGTTTGAAATATAAAACATTGAGATAGGTATTGTAGTACAGTGGATTATGTCACTGCTTGGGATTCTGACATCCCCTATCAGAGTGCCAATTCCAATCCTAGCCCCTCTGCTTCCAAATCAGCTTTCTGCTGATGAACCTGGAAAGGCATTGAAACATGGCTCAAGTACTTGGGACCTAGCCATGTGGGAGACCCTGATGGAGTTCCTGGTTCCTGAGTTCAACCTGGACCAGCCCTGGCTATATGGGGCATGAACCAGCAGATGGAAGCATTCTCTCTCATTCTCTCTCTCTCTCTCTCTCTCTCTCTCCTGCTCTTTCCCTCTCTCTCTACATATGTATCTCTATCTCTCCCTGCCACGTTATCTTTTAAAAAGTAAATAAATGAATCTTTAAAATAATAAAATATTAGTATTGTATTTTGAGTTGCTTTAAAGTGAGACGTGGGAGAGCTATTTGGCTTAACAGTTAAAACAGCCAACTCCCATGTTATGCTACCTATCCAACTCCCAGCTACAGATCCTGATTCTAGCTTCTTACTAATGCAGACCCTAGGAGTCATTGGTGATGACTCAAGCAGTTTGGTTACTGCCACTCACATGGAAGACCTAGATTGGGTGTCCAGCTCCTAGCTTCACTGCCTCCCCTCAACCCCAATCCTGCCATTGTGGGCATTTGGGGAGCGAATCAGTGAATGGGAGCTCCCTCCCACTAGCAAGTAAGTTAAGTAAATTTCTTAAACAATTTTAAAAACTAGAGGGAGACACATTAAAGACAACATGTTTCTGAACATTTGAAGGTCTTTTAACTCCATTAGATACTTCAAGTGTGACACATTTAACATGCCCTCACAAAATGTACAATCTACCTCAATCATGCTGACAGATCAAATCCAAAATAAGCTCTATTAATCAGCACAATAGTAACGACATTTGCTAACTCTGATGAAAAATGTTTTGTTATATATTTCTGAAAGAAATTGGATTTACTTTTGAGATTTATATTTTTCTTATAAATGTTTTTCAATTCTTGTCATAGTTAATAAAGATAAACTGCTTTAAGATTCTTATGAAAGTAAATTTGGTAAATAATCACAATAACAGCTCCCATTTATTTAGGAATTACTAATGATCAGGTCTATTTTATAGGTGCTTTATGAACATTTTACTTAATCCACAGTACAACCAAGATAAAATTACTTTTCACATTTTTAAGCACATAAAGCTTAAATAATTTAACTAGTATCATATAGCATCAATAATATAATCACAGTGCAAATCTATATGCTTCCAACTCTAAATACAGCTGTCTCTGCTATGTTCTTATTGGCACCACCTTAGAAAAGGTATTACTCAGGGGTCTACATTGTGGTGCAGTGGCCTGAGCCACTGCTTGCAATGCTAGCATCCCATATCATGGTAAGTGCCAGTTTCAGTCCTGGCTGTACCACTTCCAATCCAGCTCCATAAATAAATATAAGTGGGAAAGCAGTGGATATTGGCCCAAGAACTTGTTCCCCTGAGAGGAGAGGCCCAGATGGAGTTCCAAGTTCCTTATTTTATCCTGGCCCAATCCCCGTGGTAGTGGCCATTTGAAGAGTGAACTAATGGATAAGCAATCTCTCCTTCTCTCTCTGTCTCTCCCTCTCTCTGTGTAACTCTGCCTTTCATTAAGTAAATTGAAAAACAAAGAACTATTACTCAGAGACATCTCTAATTAGAATGGGTATATATTTATATTCTCAATTTTAAAATATTATATATTATTATATATTATAGTATAATTATATTTAATTACATTAACTATGAAAATGATATGTTGTGCTACAAATATTGAATGATATTTTAAAATCTAGAATATGAATTTATTTTTAAATGCAAAATTTTGTGGTTTTTTTAAGATTTATTGAATTATTTGAAATGAAAAGTTACAGAGAGAGAAAAGGAGAGAGAGAGAAAGAGAGAAAGAGAGGATCTTCTATCCACCAGCTCATTCCCCAAATGGCTGCAACAACAAGGGCTGGGCCAGGCAAAAGCAAGGAGCCTACAACTCCATCCAGATCTCCCACATGGGTGGCAGAGTCCCCTACATTCAGGCCATCTTCCACTGCTTTCCCAGGTAGATTAGCAGAAAAATGAATCTGATGTGGAACAGCCAGAACTTGAACCATCACTCATAACAAATGCCAGCCTCCAAGCAGCACCTTAACTCACTAAGTCACAATGCTGTCCCCAGAATAAATTCTTAAGAAAAAATCTCTTCTTGCTGAGTAAAATAAATACATTCTTCTCATTGCAATAAACCTTTTTAGTCCAATAAATCATGATAATTTTACATTATTCAGAAAGAAGAGGGGTCAGCACTGTGGCATAGTGGGTAAAACCTATGCCTGCAGTGCCAGCTTCCCATATGGTCGCCAATTTGTATCCTGGCTGCTTCTCTTCTGATCCAGCTCTTTGCTATGGCCTAGGAAAGCAGTAGAAGATGGCCCAAGTCCTTGTACCCCTGCATCCACATGGGAAACCCAGAAGAAGCTCCTGGCTCATGGCTTCAGATCGGAGTAGCTCTGGCCATTGTAGCCATCTGGGGAGTGAACCAGTGGATGGAAGACCTCTCTTTCTGTCTCTGCCTCTCTCTGTAACTCTTTCAAATAAATAAAATAAATCTTTAAAAAAAATTAAGTAAAGGAATAGTACACACTTAGGGATGAGTGCAGACAATTTCAAGAGAGAAAACTGCTCCTACCCAGGCTAGAGTCATACTTTTTACAGGGTAGGGGTGGCACTTGAGACAGGGTCTGAATGAAGATCCAAAGAAGACAAGGTTTGAGTGGGACTGCAGCACACATGTTTACATCCAGGAAGGTATCATGACATCAGGTGCTTGATGGAGAGTAAGGCTTAGCTTCATGATGAAGAGCAGGTGTGCCAAGTCTTCAGCCAAGCTAAATCTGCACATAAGTTTTTGTGACACGTACAGTGTTCACGATTTAGGTATTGGCTATCTTTAGCTCCTTGTCTCTCACTGACTCCCTGCCTAGCCCACATCACTTTCATATTACCAAGGGACAATATTAAGTTTAACAGTTTCTGGAAATTACCCTCTTTGAAAACGCAGTATTCACTTTTTTTTTTTCTTTTTACAGGCAGAGTGGACAGTGAGAGAGAGACAGAGAAAGGTCTTCCTTTGCCATTGGTTCACCCTCCAATGGCCGCCGCAGCCAGCACGCTGCAGCCAAGGCACTGCGCTGATCCGATGGCAGAAGCCAGGTACTTATCCTGGTCTCCCATGGGGTGCAGAGCCCAAGCACTTGGGCCATCCTCCACTGCACTCCCTGGCCACAGCAGAGATCTGGCCTGGAAGAGGGGCAACTGGAACAGAATCCGGTGCCCCGACCAGGACTAGAACCCGGTGTGCTGGCGCCGCAAGGCGGAGGATTAGCCTAGTGAGCGGCGGCACCAGCCAACAGTATTCACTTCTACAACTATTGATTGGTCTGCAGCTCTTCTTAGTAATTGTGGCATTCCACTGTGGGAAAGAAACTGTTACACAATTGAACACTTCTTAGCAAAACAGAAAGTAGGCATATGTGTGAAGTATAGAAGATTAAAAAAAAGAAAACACAGTATTCAGTATTCCAAAATTTCTTCAGTTCTCCTTGACTTTTCAAATGATGACCAAAGGTCCTGAGACTAGAAAGTGGAAAAAAAAAAAAAAAACTCAAGACACCATAAATATGCATCAGGCTGATATAACAGACACAGACAAAGCTAGCTGCAAAGTTAGCAGGAAACAATATTTTTCCAAAGGACATCTGCAGCTGTAAATTGTCCTAACAACCCTTTTCTTTTAGTGATAACTTCTTTCTTGCTAAGAATTCCCTGTTCTTTATGAAGATTTTTGCAAGTTTCCACCATTAAAAACTAAGATGTTGATTATGTATGCTATAATTTATGTTTATTCGTGAGCTTTTATTTTTGATGATTTTGTTGGTAAGTCTGAATTTGAAAGAGGGGCTGCATTTTCATTTGCTTTGCATTTCTGTTATTTCTGTTTGCTTTGATTTTTTCTGGCTCTCATTTGTTGGCCTTCATAAAAAATTAAGATTAATTTTTCAGAGAATCACTCCAAATACATGTTTTTGGAAGCTTCTATTCCTAACTGTATGATGCATATATAAATAGTAACTTTAATTAAACTTAGTTCCCATGTAAGTTATAGACATTAAAGAAGACAACATATTTAAAGACAAAAAAGCTATAGAACAAATATGTATTAACATCATTTCTTCCTATGTAGAATGAAACACCCTTCCTGTTCTTTTTCCTCTCTCAGCTATTATAAAACATAAACTGAGTATTATATTTATAGATTATATATAATTACATGTATATATTAAAATATAAATTGAGTATTATAAACTCAATTTTATTTCTTTAAAGATTTATTTATTTATTTGGAAAGCAGAGTTACAAAGAAGCAGAGGCAGAGGCAGAGAGTCTTCCATCTACTAGTTCACTCCCCAAATGGCTGCAAAGCTGGAGCTGGGCCAGCAATCAAGAGTCAGGAGCTTCTTCCAGGTTTCCCAAGCATGTGCAGGGGCCCAAGGACTTGGGCTATCTTCTACTGCTTTCCCAGGCCATAGCAGAAGCTGGATCAGAAGTGGGGCAGCTGGGACTCGAACCGGCACCCACGTGGGGTGCTGGCACTGTGGGCCGCAGCTTTAACCCCAACACCACGGTGCTGGACCCTGTATACTAAATTTTAATCCATCAGAATTACTTGCCAAAATGAATGGGAGAGAGAAAAGAATTCAGCTAAGAATAAAAACAGACTTTTCTCTCCCTTCAGGTATAGTGGCAATTGTGACACTATTTTTACATTTAAAAAAAAAAAAAACTGACATTTGAGGGGGAAAAAAAAACAGCTTAGTAGTGTACCAGGTGATTTCTGTCACACTTAAGTCTTACTATGTTGCCAGACCTGGAGTCCATACCACAGCAACACTTATGAGAGTTAACAAAACCCTTGCACAACTGTCACTGACATGAGGACAAATGTCACTTGTTATAAATAGTAGCAATAGTAATCACAAGGAAAGTCCTAAAATTGATGAAATTATGGAGTCACTGTACCAGTCCCTGGCCTGCTTTCCTCTGGATTTTTTGTTTTCCGAGAAAAATTTAAAACCTTTATTCCATTACAGGCAGGCAAGGCAATTCCCAACTGATAAAATGGGGGTTCAATAAATATTTGTTGATTTGCATTTCCCTGATTACTAATGACCTTGAACATTTTTTCATGTGCCTGTTGGCCATTTGGATTTCCTCTTTTGAAAAATGTCTATTGAGGTCCTTGGCCCATCTCTTAATTGGGTTGTTGGTTTTGTTTTTGTGGAGTTTCTTGATCTCTTTGTAGATTCTGGTTATTAACCCTTTATCTGTTGCATAGTTTGAAAATATTTTTTCCCATTCTGTCGGTTGTTTCTTCACTCTCCTGACTGTTTCTTTTGCAGTACAGAAACTTCTCAATTTGATGCAATCCCAATAGTTAATTTTGGCTTTGACTGCCTGTGCCTCCCGGGTCTTTTCCAGAAACTCTTTGCCTGTGCCAATATCTTGAAGGGTTTCTCCAATGTTCTCTAGTAACTTGATGGTGTCAGGTCGTAGATTTAGGTCTTTAATCCATGTTGAGTGGATTTTTGTGTAAGGCGTAAGGTAGGGGTCTTGCTTTATGATTCTGCACGTGGAAATCCAGTTTTCCCAGCACCATTTATTGAATAGACTGTCCTTGCTCCAGGAATTGGTTTTAGATCCTTGATCAAATATAAGTTGGCTGTAGATGTTTGGGTTGATTTCTGGTGTTTCAATTCTGTTCCATTGGTCTATCCATCTGTTTCTGTACCAGTACCATGCTGTTTTGATTACAACTGCCCTGTAGTATGTCCTGAAATCTGGTATTGTGATGCCTCCGGCTTTGTTTTTGTTGTACAAGATTTCTTTAGCTATTCGAGGTCTCTTGTGCCTCCATATAAATTTCAGCACCAATTTTTCCAGATCTGAGAAGAAGGTCTTCGGTATCTTGATTGGTATTGCATTGAATCTATAAATTGCTTTTGGGAGAATGGACATTTTGATGATATTGATTCTTCCAATCCATGAGCATGGAAGATTTTTCCATTTCTTGGTATCCTCTTCTATTTCTTTCTTTAAGGTTTTGTAATTTTCATCGTAGAGATCTTTAACGTCCTTGGTTAAGTTTATTCCAAGGTATTTGATTGTTTTTGTAGCTATTGTGAATGGGATTGATCTTAGCAGTTCTTTCTCAGCCATGGCATTGCCTGTGTATACAAAGGCTGTTGATTTTTGTGCATTTATTTTATACCCTGCTACTTTGCCAAAATCTTCTATGAGTTCCAATAGTCTCTTAGTAGAGTTCTTTGGGTCCCCTAAATAAAGAATCATGTCATCTGCAAAGAGGGATAGTTTGAGTTCTTCCTTCCCAATTTGTATCCCTTTAATTTCTTTTTCTTGCCTAATAGCTCTGGCTAGAACCTCCAGAACTATATTGAATAGCAGTGGTGAGAGTGGACATCCCTGTCTGGTACCAGAGCTCAGTGGAAATGCTTCCAACTTTTCCCCATTCAATAGGATGTTGGCCGTGGGTTTTTCATAGATTGCTTTGATTGTATTGAGCTAAGCTAAGACCTGGAACCGACCTAAATGCCCATCAACGGTAGACTGGATAAAGAAATTATGGGATATGTACTCTTTAGAATACTATACCGCAGTAAGAAACAACGAAATCCACTCATTTGTAACAAAATGGAGGAATCTGGAACACATCATGCTGAGTGAAATAAGCCAGTCCCAAAGGGACAAATACCATATGTTCTCCCTGATCGGTGACAACTGACTGAACACCAAAAAGGAAACCTCCTGAAGTGAAACGGACACTATGGGAAATGGTGACTTGATCAGCATAGCCCTGACTGTCAATGAACAACTTAATACATTATCCCTCTTAGTAGTTTTTTTGTCTGTTCTACTTAATATGACTGGTTTAATTCTGTAATTAATACACAGTTATTCTTAAGTGTTAAAAATTAACTGAAATGTGATCCCTGTTAAACATAAGAGTGGGAATAAGAGAGGGAAGAGATGTATAATTTGGGACATGCTCAAGCTGACTTGCCCCAAATGGTAGAGTTAAAAACATACCAGGGGATTCCAATTCAATCCCATCAAGGTGGCATGTACCAATGCCATCTCACTATTCCAAGTGATCAATTTCAGTTCACAATTGATCATAATGAAAGGACTAAGAGTCAAAGGGAGCACATAAACAAGTCTAGTACCTGCTAACACTAACCGATGGAATAAATAAGGGGAGAGTGATCCAACATGGGAAGTGAGATACTCAGCAGACTCATAGAATGGCAGATGTCCTAAATAGCACTCTGGCCTCAGAATCAGCCCTAAAGGCATTCGGATCTGGCTGAAAAGCCCATGAAAGTATTTCAGGCATGGAAAGCCAAGACACTCTGGCAAAAGATCTCTGCGAGTGAGATCCCAGTGGAAAGAACAGGTCTTCAAAGAAGGAGGTACCTTTCTCTGAAGGGAGGAGAGAACCTCCACTTTGACTATGAGCTTGTCTAAACAAGATAAGAATCGGAGAACTCAGAGGGCTTCCATAGCCTTGGAAACTCATGACTGGAGCATAGGGAGACTACTGATGCCATAGACAGGAGTGTCAATTGGTAAAGTCAACAACAGGATTCACTGTGCACTTACTCCTCATGTAGGATCTCTGTCCTTAATGTGCTGTGTATTGAGATTTAATGCTATAACGAGTACTCAAACAATATATTTCACTTTGTGTTTTTATGGGGGTGCAAACTGTTGAAATCTTTACTTAATGTATACTAAACTGATCCTCTGTAAAAAAAAAAAAAAAAAGAAATTATCAACTCCCAACTTGACTCTCACTGGGATTAAACATGACAATAGGTCTGATCTGATTTCATCATCATTTAAAAAAATCATCTATTATTTTTCACTTTATGTTTCTGTGTGAGAGCAGACTGTTGAAATCCTTACTTAATGTATACTAAGCTGATCTTCTGTATATTAAGATAATCGAAAATGAATCTTGATGTGAATGGAAGGGGAGAGGGAGTGGGAAAGGGGAGGGTAGTGGGTGGGAGGGACGGTATGTGGGGGAAGCCATTGTAATCCATAAATCGTACTTTGGAAATTAAAAAAAAAATAAAAAAAAAGCAATGACTGACTCTTAAACAAAAAAAAATAAATAAATAAATAAATATTTGTTGAACTGAACTGAGAGGATATTGAAAGAATGGCTAAAGATAATGGAGAAAATACCCCTGTTGTGTAAGTCTATCATATGAAAAGTTTGAGATATAATGGGTCATGATGTAGAACTAAAAACAGAAAATAATCCAAATGATCTATGTAACACCAAAGACTGGATACACTGTTTCAAGAGCTTCATGCTAAATTAATCAATTAATAGTAACTGCAAAATGGCAAAAAGTAAAACTTCAGTCATAGGAAAAATAGGCAATGTGATTTTCTTTAATAT